GGAGTTAAAAGTTGGCTATTTGATCAGGCCTGCAAAGCGAAGGCCGAACTGGAAAGGCTGGAGAAGTTCAGAGACGTGGAAGTCCTGAAATTTGATGTCATCGCTTCTCAGGCTCAGCTTGAAATCAAAGATATGGAGAAGGAGGAAATAAAGCAGAAATATGAACAAGTGAGGGTCTCCTGCTTTCACACAGTTGAAGCATTTATGGACGAACTACATGAAGAGAAAGAGAAGAATAAGGCATTGGAAGAAGAACTGAAGGAGCTCCAGAGGTCATTCCAGGAGCTCAATGCCAAATATAATGCTGACTTGATAAAGAGGAGAGAAGAGACCAAGTCACAAACATTTTACGAGGAAAAGATTAGTGAGAAGCAGCGATTACTGGATATTGTGAAAACAGAGATGGAAACGATGAGGGTAGAAATGATAGAAAAAATTGAGTCGATGCAAGAAGCAGAACAACTTTTACAGAGAGAATTGGAGGAATCTAAAAAATCGTATTATGATCTGACTTTGGCCCATGAGAAGGAAATCGCAATCTTGAAACTAGACCTGGAGCGATACCAACAGGAGCTAAAGCAAGAGAAAGAAGATCATTTAGAAAACCTTGGAAAAAATAAGGAGCTGACTGAAAAACTGAAAGCCCAGAAAGAAAGTGGAGAGATCCTGAAGAAGCAAATGATTGAAAACAACAGATTTTATCTGGAGAAGGCAGAGGAGGAGAAGAAGGTGATAAACGTCTTAGAATTGGAAAAAACCTTCCTGCAGAAATTATCAACAAGTGAGATTAAATGCCTGCAGGACAAACTGAAAAACGCCATAGAAGAACTAAACAAAGTTGACATTTTATATCAAGATTTGTCCGTGAGATATGAAAGAGACATTAGTTCACTTAAAAAAGCTGCAGAACGAAACCAAATTAAAAGTAATTCCGCGGAAAATATTGTTGAATCTACAAACGATTTACCGTCAACCACCACGGCGAGTCCTCAAGAAGAAGAAGAGGAAATATCAGTCGGCCATGTCGACGCAATTAATGATTCAAATGACATGGATTCAGAGGAGGAACAACCTGAACCAGAACCAGAACCAGAACCAGAACCAGGTTGTTCTAAGGACGCTGAAGACATGGACGATATTATGACCCAAGAAGAAAGTGGCCTTCAGGATTTAGACAGTAAAAAGAAACCGAAAACCACCATTTGGAAAAGAATGAAAAAATTTCTTGGATTTAAGTCAAAACGAAAACCAAAGAAAGAAAACGATAAAGATGATTAATTTTGATATTTATCAAGACATTAAAGAGAAGAACTGAGGACCACATCCAGGTTGTCGCCTCTGTGTTCAGGGCAAGTTTTAAAAGTTTAAAGTTTTAAAACTTTTAAGTTATAAAGTTTGAAAACTTTAAAGTTTTAAAACTTAAGTTTTAAGTTAACGTAAAACTTAAAACATTGCACGGCCCAGTATTTTAACACTGAAAGTCGCATTAATAGTGTTTTAAATCTCACCATTTTGTCTTATTGGAAATAAACCCATTAAAACGTCTTGATTAGCTAAAAACTGACATGTGGCATGAACATGTATAAACATTCAGAGTATAAAAAAATATTAAAACCTCTTTAAAACTTAAGTTTTAAAACTTTAAAGTTTTAAAACTTAAGTTTTAAAACTTTAAAGTTTTAAAACAAAGTTTTAAAGACAGAACTTTGTCTTTAAAAAGACAGTTTTTCCCCGATTGACAAAATAGATCCTCCCAACCCAACAGAAAAATGGTGGACAGCACGGTGGCGCAGCGGTTAGCGCTGCGTCTTCACAGAGACCATCTGTGTGGAGTTTGCATGGTCTCCCCGTGTTTGCGTGGGTTTTCCCCGGGCGCTCCGGTTCACCCCACATCCCCTAAAACATGCAGGTCAGGTCAGTTGGTCACTGCAAATCGTCCCAAAACAGTTTATAAACTCCAACACATGTTCAGTTTTATTGTTAAACTTGTAAAATTAATTGGCATTTTCCCTCCACTGGTTTAGTGATAGAGGCTCATTACTGCAACACTCAGCTAAATATTTATAGCAACTTGTTGATTATAGTAATGATTTCTGTTTATTTTCACTGTACTTGTGCTTTCCTGGTTTGACCTTTGGTTGACCTTTTCACATGAAATTGCCCTGAATTGTAGCTCGTTATGCTGCGTTTAAACCTGTATTTTAGAGAAGATAAGCAAAAGGATCATGCAGTGGCGTCTTTAGGACGACTGTGTCTCTGTGGGTAGATGGACCAGAAGGTTGTCGGTTCGATTTCAGCTTCCTCAGCCACATGTTGAGGTGCCATTGGGCAGGGCATTTAGCGGCAAGTTGCCCAGCGACCTGCATGTGGGTGTAAATGTGTGTGGGTGAATGTGACTGCAGCGTGAAGCGCTTTGAGTATCAGCATGATTAGCAAGTTCAGTCCATTTACCTTTGATAATAAATCCTGGTTTTCTTTTCATTAGTGATGTTTCATGACGTGCCGAGGCTTCGGAGCGAGGCGAGTAAAGGAGGGGAGGTTTCCGTAAAGCGCGTATCGAAGCTTGCTTCATTTAGTGGAGGAGCCGAAAACGATGACGTCCGAAGCCTCGCTGCCCGGCTGTACCATGTGACCGCTTCAGGAAGTGGTCACATGGTACATGGCTTCATTAACCCCACAGGCTCCATTTAAAATGTGGATTGTTGTAGGCGAGTTGCGGTCAGTTAGAGAGTGGATAGAGGTTTGATAGTTTGGATAGCAGAGTTTGGATTGTGGTTATTTAGTTTGAGACAGTTAGTTTGGAGTTTGGAGAGTTTAGGAGAGAGAGAGAGAGAGAGATCTGAGATTTGGGATCGTCTCTTTTCAAAGGCTGGAGAAGTAGTGTCAAAAAAGAGGAATCCTTTGAAACAATAAACTGTGGAGAAATTGTTGTTTCTTAATAAAAATGAATGAAATCATCCAAGTTACACAAGCATTAGCCTCTTCACTGCCCCTCCCTAGTTCCACAAGCACTTTCACTGTCCTCTGCCTGATGAAGCCATTTTTCTAGAGTCACAGAAAAACATTATTACACAACATGCCATATCACATGACACAACTATTTTGGGAAAAATTACACACAGAGAATACATTCAACCAATATCTTATTATTCACATATGTATTTACATAATTTATGTAGACAAATGATTTTGTCCTACACCTTTTGTGACGTCATTCCCAAGAGCCATAATAGACAAAAATTTAATGCATCACACCTGTTTAAGATACAGCTGGCTGTGATTATACACCTGGCCAGTAGGTGGTTTCGTGAGCACATGAAGCTTCAAGAAATGAACCCTTTCTGAACCAGTTGGATCAAGTGGTTCAATGCCTCATGAGGCTTCATCTCACCATCACTAGTTTTCATACCAAACATAAGAAACGTGATTTAACATGTTTAGACTTTTTCAGGTTCCAGTTAAGTTAAGATTAGAGTTAAATCTGTACATTGAATTAGATGATAATTGTAATCATAATTTAATAATCCGGACCGTGAAGAAGCCCAGAGTTATTTTATCTCTGATAAAACAGGTTTTATCAAAGATAAAAGTTATTGTGTGAGCTTTCTCTTTGTCTTTATTTACAATAACAAATTCAAGATAAACTAAACAAAAAAAGTGCAATTCAACATGAAAACTGTGTAGAAAAGGAAAAAAACAAGAACAATCCATGAAAGTATGAAAACAGAGAACTTAATCAGAAATCATTTCCATTACAGGAAGAAATCAATTCTTAGATAAATACTTTGTAATAAATATGAAGCTTTTGTGTTGTTGAGCTTATTGCTGTCTGCTTGTATAAAAGAGAAGAAAAAGGGGCTGAGAAATGCCTAAATCAGTTTTTTAACCAGCTTTATAGTCAGACTGCAAATTATGTTTTGTTTAGGACGTTACCTATAGGTTTTGTTTGTCAACCTGGGTTTACTTCCTAGTCCTGGGGAATCTGCTGCCTGTCATTCCCTCGTTTCTCCTCCCAATTTCCTGTTCAACCACTGCAAAAATAATGGCTACTAGAGCCTAAAACACTTTATTAGAGCCTGAAAAACTTTTTAAAAACTAAACAAATGGACCAAAAGTCAGAATATAATTACCTCCACATTGTGCTCGTTTCCTCATGTTAACAACTTTCTTCCATTGTCTCTCATTTTCTCTCTTTCGTTCATAATTAACAGGTTATTTAATATACACACACATGCACACATTTACACGTCCCCTCCATGGCTGCCACCTTATGGTGGTGGGGGGTTTGAGTGTCCCAGTGATCCTAGAAGTTATGCTGTCGGGGCTTCATGCCTCTGGTTGGGCCACCCGATGCAGACGGGTCCAAGGTGAGGAACCAGACCAAGGGCAGCCCAAAGATCCCATATGATCAATACGACCATTGGAAACAGGTTTGACTCGACCGTACAGGAGGTCCTACCCTTACGGGGCCCAGAGGTGCAAACCACTTCAGCATATTGAAAGCACGATTACAAATTACATAAGCGCTAAAACATGAACGAAAGTGTAACAGAGAACAAAGTGTGTGTATATGTCTTTGTGAATTTTGCCCAAAATAATGAAGGTTGTGTCTGTTTCTGGTGGGATTTTTGAGTGATGCCACGGTTTAGAGCCACCTAGTGGTGTGATGACAGACTGCATGTGACGGGTCCTTCAGGTTTCCCCACCAGAATCCTGTGAAGTTCTGGTGGGGGTCGGTGCGAGAGAGGCAGCTCTTCATTACTTCTTTTACTTGGGGTCATATTTTTCTAGTTAAATACTAAACAAAATACTATAACATTTAACATCTACAAATATGATTTATAAAGTTTTATAATGGTTATGCTGAAAAAATATGACCCTATAGGTGGGAGCTGCGCCAGTTGGTGTTCCTGGCTGACCATTCAGTCATGATGCTAACTGTGTCTTTTGTTTTTCAGCTGAGGAGCCACAAGCAGGCAGTGACGTTTTGAAGATTTGTCTTTTGTTTTTTTGTCATTCTAGTAAATAAGCAGAGAACTTTACACAAGCACTAAAACATGAATGAAAGTGCTACAACGTTGATGAAACTGTTAGGATTCAAGTTGGTGTGAGTGCTCCTCCGAATAGACGATCTTCGTGGGAGCGTTCTGGCAGGCTGACGCACCTGAAGCGGATTTCTGAAATCGGCTGCAGGATTCTTAAGAAGCGGTGGAGCAGCCATTCATCGCTCGATGGTCCCACTTGTTGGTCAGAGTCAATCCCAAGGTTTTGCCAAGCTTCATGTTGACCAAGGACTAAGTTAATCTTTGTGTTGTTTTTCTCAGATTTTGGATGCACTGCCTGGACCCAGCTAGGAACCATGCCCACCCGAACACTGACACCGATTACCCACCGGACTAAACGCTCTCGTCTGCCGCCCGAGCCTGCAACCTTCTCTGAGCCTCTGCACCCACGGATCCTACCTCCTCCTCGGCAATCCTCCATCAGATGAACTGTAAGCCCTTCCCTCCACTTCCCTGTCAAGATCCTCTCACTCCCGCTCCTACTAACCTATCCCCTCTCCAAGCAGTACCACAGCCGCCCGGCCGCTCCCGATCCCAGTGGACAACTTAGGCTCAACATATTCAATAATAACTGTAAATAAATCTTTGAATCAAAAATCTTCCGGTTTGATGTCTAAACCTGCATGTGGGTAAAGAAACTCAAATCCAACATGACAGAAACGGATCAGGTATGTCCCAGTGGGAGATGTAAGAAATCGCTCCTTCCTCTGCGGCTCGTTTTTACTTTGAATCGGAAGTTATTCTGGCTTTAACGTGTTTTTGAAAAACATGAACGTTCTTGGTGATATAAAAACGCTTTCATTAATGTCATTGTGTTTTTGTTCATGTTATAGAGCTTTTGTAATTGTGGTTTCGATTTGCTGAAGTGGTTTGAACCTCAGGGCCACCGTACACCCTGGAGCCAGGCTGGGGCGCTTTGGGAGCCCCTGGTGGCCAGTGGCTGATATGACAATAAAAAACCTTTAATCCCTGAACAATATTAACTATTTGTGCATCGAGAAATACACTTAGCATACTAAGGTAAATGTTATTTAATTTGGTTAAGAATAATTATCGTACTATCAATAAATGACTTCTAATGCATGTTGTTAGTTGCCAGAGCAACAATAACACCTTTATCAGCTCAGAGGTTCAAACTGATGAAAAGTGAGGAAAGATGCTCTCTACTAAAATATTCCTCGCCATCTTCCATGTTCTTTCAGCAAACAGTGGAGTTGCTTTTCTTTCTGCAAACAACAGAGTTGTTTTTGGTTTCACCACCATTGACCTGCTACTTTACCCGCCATTGAAAATTTTATTAAAGGTTGTCTGCTAGTCTGCAGCTCATGTGACCAAAGCAGGCGAAGAGGTGAAAGGTTAAAACAGTCAACATTGTCTTGTTGGGAAACCCCAAGATCATTGGGAGTCTTAAAAGATGCATTTGATCAGGGGTGCCCAAAACGTCGATCGCGATCTACCGGTCGATCGCGATCTACCGGTCGATCGCGATCGACCGGTCGATCGCGATCGACCGGTCGATCGCGATCTACCGGTCGATCGCGGGGAGGTTTTGAATCGATCTCTGCAGCAGGTGACAAACTGAAAACCTCCAGGACGCTGAGAGCAGCACTTCCTCTTCTGACAGACTTATCAAAAATAGTCACTAAGATCCAAAACATTTGTAGCTTCATTAAAAAATAATAAAGCCTGAAACCTGATATCGTAACAGACTGAACGTTTTTAACGTAATCTTTGCTCGGCTTGCGGGGCGCAGGCGGTTGCCACGGCAACGGGTGTGCTTAATGATAAAGAGAGAGAGAGAGAGTGAAACGGTGCGAGTGGTTCTGAGTTGATCACCTGTTCGGGTTATTCTGTTTTCCTTCGCGGTGGTTCATCACAGCCACTGGAGTTTCTGAACGTTCAATAAACGACAAACTTGGACTAATGACCTCGTTCGTTTGCAGTAAACGTCACAACCAACATCAAATAGGACACATATATTTGATTACATTTTAACAAACAAATGGCTTCTACCACAATAATTGTGTCAAATTACATTAATTATATCCCAAATTCAGAAGATTTGCCTTTACCTTTGCAAAGCTCTTTGGTTCCTCCTATCAGTCTGCAGTTTCGCATGGTGACGTCATCAAACCAAATTTCGGATCTACCATAACTGAATGACACCTGCTGGCCTGCAATCAGCTGCTGACTGAGAAACCAGTAACCTGCTGCCAGTGTCAGAATCTCACTGAGGAAGAAACTGCATTAGGTTTTCTATCACTTTATCGTTTCTGACATAACTGATGTATATTTGCATAGAAAATTAGTCAATAGGGTTTCATTTATAATTTGTGAGGTAGATCTCAGCCGGCTGGTGAGAGAAAAAGTAGATCTTGGTCTCAAAAAGTTTGAGCACCCCTGCATTTGATTATTTTAGTTCATTTTTATCTCCAAACAGTGGTGCTGCAAAAGTTTGAACAATCGCAAACGGACTGATTAGTGTGAAAAGATGTTCAATATTATTTTATTTTAAACACTTATTGAATGCTGAAACACCTATTCATTGATATTTTAACAATTGAATTGGTTTTTATCAATGCAACCTGGCACAACATTCAGATTTTTGATCTGGGCCCAAATGGAAATGAGTTTGATGTCCCTGACATAAGACAAGAGAATCATGGACTATTTTGACTGAAACAAGATCTTTGGAGGTGGAATGATGTCACACCGCCAGCAAAGGGAGATTCTGTGATGTCACTGGCGATGCCGCCTGTGATGTCATCAACAGCAGAATTCTATGTAACACAATTCTGCATATTTGTCATTGCTCGCAATACTACTGACCAGTTCAGACGCTCGCAAACTCCTTAAGATATTTTATCGACGATTTCATTGATAGTGTTTGAGAAAATGTCTCAGCAAAGTGCAAGATCAACCATGATGGGATTTAATCCAAGGAGGGGAAACCACCAACACCCCAAGGCAGGAGCTCTACTGCCAACCCTGATGATTTGGAAAGAGAGATACGTAGACTGAACGGCCTTTTGAACAAGGAAAAGGCCAAAATGCTTGCAGTGAGAGAGAAACTGGAGGAAGAGCTCCAAGAAATGGAGTTTCAACTCAAGAAGCAGGAGGAGTTAAAAGTTGGCTATTTTGATCAGGCCTGCAAAGCGAAGGCCGAACTGGAAAGGCTGGAGAAGTTCAGAGACGTGGAAGTCCTGAAATTTGATGTCATCGCTTCTCAGGCTCAGCTTGAAATCAAAGATATGGAGAAGGAGGAAATAAAGCAGAAATATGAACAAGTGAGGGTCTCCTGCTTTCACACAGTTGAAGCATTTATGGACGAACTACATGAAGAGAAAGAGAAGAATAAGGCATTGGAAGAAGAACTGAAGGAGCTGCAGAGGTCATTCCAGGAGCTCAATGCCAAATATAATGCTGACTTGATAAAGAGGAGAGAAGAGACCAAGTCACAAACATTTTACGAGGAAAAGATTAGTGAGAAGCAGCGATTACTGGATATTGTGAAAACAGAGATGGAAACGATGAGGGTAGAAATGATAGAAAAAATTGAGTCGATGCAAGAAGCAGAACAACTTTTACAGAGAGAATTGGAGGAATCTAAAAAATCGTATTATGATCTGACTTTGGCCCATGAGAAAGAAATCGCAATCCTGAAACTAGACCTGGAGCGATGCCAACAGGAGCTAAGGCAAGAGAAAGAAGATCATTTAGAAAACCTTGGAAAAAATAAGGAGCTGACTGAAGAACTGAAAGCCCAGAAAGAAAGTGGAGAGATCCTGAAGAAGCAAATGATTGAAAACAAAAGATTTTATCTGGAGAAGGCAGAGGAGGAGAAGAAGGTCATAAACGTCTTAGAATTGGAAAAAACCTTCCTGCAGAAATTATCAACAAGTGAGATTAAATGCCTGCAGGACAAACTGAAAAACGCCATAGAAGAACTAAACAAAGTTGACATTTTATATCAAGATTTGTCCGTGAGATATGAAAGAGACATTAGTTCACTTAAAAAAGCTGCAGAACGAAACCAAATTAAAAGTAATTCCGCGGAAAATATTGTTGAATCTACAAACGATTTACCGTCAACCACCACGGCGAGTCCTCAAGAAGAAGAAGAGGAAATATCAGTCGGCCATGTCGACGTGATTAATGATTCAAATGACATGGATTCAGAGGAGGAACAACCTGAACCAGAACCAGAACCAGGTTGTTCTAAGGACGCTGAAGACATTGAGGATATTATGACCCAACAAGAAAGTGGCCTTCAGGATTTAGACATTAAAAAGAAACCGAAAACCACCATTTGGAAAAGAATGAAAAAATTTCTTGGATTTAAGTCAAAACGAAAACCAAAGACAGAAAACGATAAAGATGATTAATTTTGATATTTATCAAGACATTAAAGAGAAGAACTGAGGACCACATCCAGGTTGTCGCCTCTGTGTTCAGGGCAAGTTTTAAAAGTTTAAAGTTTTAAAACTTTTAAGTTATAAAGTTTGAAAACTTTAAAGTTTTAAAACTTAAGTTTTAAGTTAACGTAAAACTTAAAACATTGCACGGCCCAGTATTTTAACACTGAAAGTCGCATTAATAGTGTTTTAAATCTCACCATTTTGTCTTATTGGAAATAAACCCATTAAAACGTCTTGATTAGCTAAAAACTGACATGTGGCATGAACATGTATAAACATTCAGAGTATACAAAAATATTAAAACCTCTTTAAAACTTAAGTTTTAAAACTTTAAAGTTTTAAAACAAAGTTTTAAAGACAGAACTTTGTCTTTAAAAAGACAGTTTTTCCCCGATTGACAAAATAGATCCTCCCAACCCAAGAGAAAAATGGTGGGCAGCACGGTGGCGCAGCGGTTAGCGCTGCGTCTTCACAGAGACCATCTGTGTGGAGTTTGCATGGTCTCCCCGTGTTTGCGTGGGTTTTCCCCGGGCGCTCCGGTTCACCCCACATCCCCTAAAACATGCAGGTCAGGTCAGTTGGTCACTGCAAATCGCCCCCAAAACAGTTTATAAACTCCAACACATGTTCAGTTTTATTGTTAAACTTGTAAAATTTATTGACATTTTCCCTCCACTGGTTTAGTGATAGAGGCTCATTACTGCAACACTCAGCTAAATATTTATAGCAACTTGTTGATTATAGTAATGATTTCTGTTTATTTTCACTGTACTTGTGCTTTCCTGGTTTGACCTTTGGTTGACCTTTTCACATGAAACTGCCCTGAATTGTAGCTCGTTATGCTGCGTTTAAACCTGTATTTTAGAGAAGATAAGCAAAAGGATCATGCAGTGGCGTCTTTAGGACGACTGTGTCTCTGTGGGTAGATGGACCAGAAGGTTGTCGGTTCGATTTCAGCTTCCTCAGCCACATGTTGAGGTGCCATTGGGCAGGGCATTTAGCGGCAAGTTGCCCAGCGACCTGCATGTGGGTGTAAATGTGTGTGTGGGTGAATGTGACTGCAGCGTGAAGCGCTTTGAGTATCAGCATGATTAGCAAGTTCAGTCCATTTACCTTTGATAATAAATCCTGGTTTTGTTTTCATTAGTGATGTTTCATGACGTGCCGAGGCTTCGGAGCGAGGCGAGTAAAGGAGGGGAGGTTTCCGTAAAGCGCGTATCGAAGCTTGCTTCATTTAGGGGAGGAGCCGAAACCGATGACGTCCGAAGCCTCGCTGCCCGGCTGTACCATGTGACCGCTTCAGGAAGTGGTCACATGGTACATGGCTTCATTAACCCCACAGGCTCCATTTAAAATGTGGATTATTGTAGGCGAGTTGCGGTCAGTTAGAGAGTGGATAGAGGTTTGATAGTTTGGATAGCAGAGTTTGGATAGTGGCTATTTAGTTTGAGACAGTTAGTTTGGGGTTTGGAGAGTTTAGGAGAGAGAGAGAGAGAGAGAGATCTGAGATTTGGGATCGTCTCTTTTCAAAGGCTG